CATATTAGGCGCTCAGTAAGTATTTGTGGAATGATTAGCACCACCAGACACGCTCACCACACCTCACCACGAAGATGAGGCTGCAGGCTCCACAGAAGGACCTGAAGAGGCCCCAGCCCGGGGGCAGACCTGGCTGTCCCGGGCTCAGATGCCAGGCCTCAGGCGGAACGGAGGGAGAAGCAGCTATGGCCCCCACAGTAACACAGGCCGGGCCGGGCCCTGGGGGCATAACTGGTCATGGAGACCTGAAAGACCTGGGACCGAGAGCCGCTGGGTCAGGAATCCAGCCATCCGGGTTTCCAGCCCTGCCTGGGGCTGCTCAGCCCAAACCCCCCCCCCCCCTCGCCACACACACACACACACACACACACACACACACACACACACACACACAGTGTCTAGGGATCTGAGAGGACTCAGGACTCAACCCAATCCCCCCACCCCCCTCGCGACACACACACACACACACACACACACACACACACACACACACACACTAGGGGTCTGAGAGGACTCAGGACTTTGGCAACAAGAGAGGCTGGCTGAGCTGATCAGGGAGGGCGGGACCAGGGGAGGGGCCGGCAGGTAGGTGCCCTTTCCCAGGAGCTGCCACTTCGGAAGGAAGATCTACTGTGTACCCAGGCCGGGCTGGAGACTCGTCCTCACTGCCGGCTGCGGAGACCCTGGCGTTTACTCTGTGCCCGCTGCCTGCCTTCGAAGCCGCCTTGGACACCTGCTCCCGCTTCCCTCTGGTTCTGACACCTGGATCTTGCCTTTGAACCCCAGCCTGAGGTCCCTTCCTTTGGGTGCCTGGTGTCTTCCCAGGGCCCCTGGTCCTGGGTCATGGCCCAGAGGGCAGGCCTGGGGCCTAGGTGGCTGGAGGCTCTGGCCACTCTGATTTTGCTTGGATTATTCCGGAATGAGATGGGTGAGCGTGTGGGGGTGGGGAGTGTGGAGCACGGGGGGGAGGGGGGGAGGGGGCGGCCGGCAGTGCACCGGGGCCGAGGGTATAACCCTTTTCTGGGGCACATCCCTTATTCTGGGCTCAAGAACCCCCAGCTTCAGCCTCCCTGGCTCTTGGCCTCTCCCCTCAGCTTTGGCTTCCTGTGGGGGGGGCAGCCCTCTGGAGAAGCAGGAGGTAAGGGGGCGTCTGGGCACTTGAGACTTCCCCGCTTACCCCTCCCTCTTTCTCTTTCCCTCCAGGAGCCGTTGGGGCTGAAGGTGAGGCTCGCCGGGGAAGTGGGGGGAGGGGAAGGGGAGGGGGAGGGGCCACGGGTTCAGATTTCCCTGGGGCGTTTGAGTGCCTGACCCTCTCTGCAAGGCCGTCTCTTTCACTCCTGTTGTCTTATTTAGGTCCCCCAATAGCTCTGGGAGGCGAGGATTACAGCCCTCGTTCTTTGGATTAAGAAATTGAGGGGCAGAGAAGTAACTTGCCCGACGGCACACAGCCAGTAAGTGGCAGAACTGGGATTTAAACCCAGGTCTGACTCCAAACGTGGGTTGTTTTGAGGGAACAAACCAAGGATCCGTCTCCTTGGCAATCCCGGCTTCACCATGTACTGGCTGTGTCTCGAATGCCAGTTCCCTCACCTCTGAAATGAAGTTGAGGGAGTTCCCTTGGGGTCCACTGGTTGGGACTCCGCACTTTCACTGCCGAGGGCCCCCGGGTTGGGGAACTAGGATCCCACAGGCCGTGCGGTGCGGCAAAAATAAAATAAAATGAAGTTGATTCTGGGAATTCCTGGTGGTCCAGTGGTTCAGACTCTGTGCTTCCAATGCAGGGAGCACGGGTTCGATCCCTGGTCACGGAACTAAGGTCCCGCATGCCATACAGTGCGGCCAAAAACAAAAGATTTTTTTAAAAAATGAAGTTGATTCTGTCTGTCTCCTGGGGCTGCAATGAAGAGTCTGGAAGATTAAGGAAGTGAAAGCCCCTTTGGGGCCTGGCATTGCTTGAACTGCTGGTCTCTATTGTCCTTTTTACAAGGAGAGGGGGAGGAGCCTCACTGGGTGGTTTTCCCTGCTTCTGAGCAGGTGACTTTGTGAAGGGCACTTGGGTCCTGCTCCAAACAGCGGCCTATGCGGGGGTGGGGCTGTCCTGGAAACTAGACATTCACACCCTGGGAGCCCGGCTGTTCCATTCGTTTGTTCAACACACATCCACGACTCCATCCGTGTGCCCAGCCCTGTGCTGGGTGCTGGGGACATAGGGATCTGCCCTCGTCCCTGCCCCTAGGGAACGCCCAGGTTGGCTGGTTGAAGCAGACACCGTCATAATGCGGAACAGCCACGTCTGGGAAGCACGGACCTCGGGAACTCCGAAGCGTCGCCTCACTCAGCCAGCAGGGTCAGGGCAGGCTACAGAGGGACCGAGAATTTGAACCATCTCCATAGGCAAATAGCAGTTTGCCGAGCGAAGTAGGGATGAGGAAAGGTATTCTAGGCAGAGGGACCTGAATAAGCCAAGGTCTGGAGGTGAACAAGTGTGTGGCCCGCTGTGACAGGGTGTCCAGAGGGACGGCTGTGCCATGGAAGGTCTGGAGTCTCTCGTAAAGGCAGTGCGGGCCAGGGAAGGATTTAAGCGGGGGTATGACCTGGCCAGATTTGTAAGGAGTGGAGCAGATGGAAGGCAGGAAGGCCGGTGAAGACAGAAGCTGGATGAGACCTTAATTAGGCACTGGGTCGAGGGTAGCGGGGGTGGGCAGAACTGACCGTGACTGGTGAGCCATGGGATGGGGACACAGGGTGGCTGGTTTCTGTGAACTCACTCCCGAAGCTCCAAACCACACCTCCTGGGCTATGTCGGGAGTGGCAGGGTCGAGGATGTGGTTTGGGGGACCCTGAGGACCTGACCCCCTCCCTTCCTTTCCTCCCTGGGCAGCCTCCTGCGGCGTGGTCCCCCAAGCACGTATCACAGGTGGTAGCGATTCAGCCCACGGCCAGTGGCCCTGGCAGGTCAGCATCAGCTACAAGGGCGCCCACGCGTGTGGCGGCTCTCTCCTGTCTGAGCAGTGGGTGCTGTCGGCTGCTCACTGCTTCCCAAGGTACCAGCTGGGTAGGGGGCAGGGCGGGGAAGTCAAAAGTGGGCTGGAGGTCAAAGTTCAAGGATCAGTGTGGGTCAGAGGTTGGAGGTTCTTGGGTTGTATCTAGGGATATCAATAAAGTCTGTACGGATCCGTCAGGAGTGAAGGCCAGAGGTCACAGGTCACAGGATAAAACTAGGATGCAGAGTGGACTCTGAAAGGTCAGGAACTGAGGTTGGATGCCACAAGGCAACAGGGATCCCGGTCTCTCGGGTCCCAGCCTTCGCCCCTCTGCCTGCAGGGAGCACCGCACAGAGGACTACGAGGTAAAGCTGGGGGCCCACAAGCTGAACTACTACAGCTCTGACACCGAGGTCCGCACGGTGGCGCAGGTCATTTCCCACCCCAGCTACCTCCAGGAGGGCTCCATGGGTGACATCGCGCTCCTCCAGCTCAACCGCTGTGTCACCTTCTCTCGCTACATCCGGCCCATCTGCCTCCCCACAGCCAACGCCTCCTTCCCCAATGGTCTCCAGTGCACTGTCACGGGATGGGGCCACGTGGCCCCCTCAGGTGAGGGTGAGGTGGGCGCTGATGTCTAGGGGCACGGAGGGAGCCGACGCAGGGTAGGAGGCCCTGGGTAAGCATCTTTTGCCCCCACAGTGAGCCTCCAGGCCCCCAAGACGCTGCAGCAACTTGAGGTGCCACTGATCAGTCGCGAGACCTGTAACTGCCTGTACAATATCAACGCCAAGCCCGAGGAGCCCCACTTTATCCAGCAGGACATGGTGTGTGCTGGCTATGTGAAAGGGGGCAAGGACGCCTGCCAGGTACACGCGGGGGGTCCAGGGAAAAGATGAGACAGGCGTGTCTTGGGAGATGAGGGCTCAATGGGGCTGGCACAGATGGTTGGAGGCCTGGGGGCTGGTCCTGACAGCTGCTGTGTGGATTTTCTCCTCAGGGTGACTCTGGGGGCCCACTCTCCTGCCCAGTGGGGGGCCGCTGGTACCTGGCAGGCATCGTAAGCTGGGGTGATGCCTGTGGGGCCCCCAACAGGCCCGGTGTGTATACTCTGACCTCCAGCTATGCCTCCTGGATTCACCACAAAGTGGCAGAGCTCCAGCCTCAGGTGGTGCCCCAGATCCAGGAGTCCCAGCCTGATGGCAACCTCTGCAGCAACTACGGGGCCTTCAACCCTGCCCCAGCCCCAGGCTTGGTGGGACCCCTCCTTCTGCTGCCACTAGGCCTGACCCTGGGCCTCCTCCGCCCACAGCACGACCACTGAGCTACTCACCCTGGGAGCTGACTTGCTTCCGGGACCTCCACATCACACCCAAGGGCACACGCCTGCTCCCAGGATGCCTGACTTTGAGCCACTCCTTCCTCCCAGGACCCTGTGGGAGTTCAAAGCACCATCCTGACCTTTGAGCCCACTCTTCTGGGTTGCTCTTTGGGACTGTAACCTCCACCACAGGAGTTTACTGCCTAGGAGTCTACTGGCTAGAAACTCTGATCACGTCCATCTGCTGTCCACAAGCCTATTGGTTGGGCTCCTATGGAGCCCCCAAGGACCCTCGGCTATGAAAGTGGGCCCCGGCTCCCCACCTGTTTCTAGAAGATGCCCAGATGCCTGCTGCTGAAAGGCTGGCTGTAGCACCTCACCTGCTCTGCCTGATGAGCCCCATCATTTCACCCTCTCACTGTTTTCTGGGCTGGGGCTGCCTCTGGGCAGCATGCTTTCAAGGACAGAAAAGGCCCCACTCTTGCCTCACTGGCTGCCACGCCCCCCTGAGCCCCGACTCCTGGACTCCGGAGGACTGAGCCCCCACCGGAACTGGGCCCCGACTTGCACCTGGTGTGTGGGGTTAGACGGAGCGAGATGGAGTAAAATGTTCTGAGCACAACTGGCCGTGTGCATGTGACGTGAAATGACGCCCATCCGCTCTGGGCCTCTCCCTCCCACCTCCAAAGTCCAGAGCCACTGGCAGAACTTACTTTATTAAAAAAATGACGAAACAGGTCTGTACATATTTACAGGCTGGGGTGCAAGGAGGCACGGGTCCAGCAGCAGGGGCACAGGCACAGGACACTCACTTCTTGGAGAGTTTGACTTGCTTGTGCTTGGGGGGTGCCCACTTGAGGCAGACAGAGTCCACTGTGGGGAGAAGAGGCATGAGAGGCAAGACTGGGCCTCTGGGCCTGGCCGCTCGCAGTGGCTGCTCTGCCCTGGGCCCAGACCAGGTTTCACCTCGAGGTGAGAACAGGGGCAGACTGGGTCCTGGGGAGGGGGCTGCCCCAGGCTTCGGTCCTGGGAGCTGGTCAGACTGGTTGGGGATCCGATGACAGCAAAACAGAGGCCTTGGCTCACAGCAGTCCTTACATCTACCCTCCGCACACACACACACACACACACACACACACGCGCGCGCGCGCGCGCGCACACGCCCTGGGCAGACTCCACCCACCTGTTATGGGTGGTTTCTTATACTGGGCACTTTTGAGGTGTTCTTCCACAAGCTTGGGCGTGACGCAGATCACATGCTGGCCCTTCCAGTACTTGACCATGTTGAGGGACTGGAGGGTGCTGATGATGTCATTCTGGGTGATGCTCGTCATCTGGCTGCAGAAAGGGATTAGAGCAGATGCTGGGGAGAGCGCCCTTGTGGGATTTGGCTGGGACAGCAAAACGGGACAAGGAGACAGTTTGACAGCATCACGGCCAATCTTAGGAGAGTCCTTCCCTCTTGAGGGTTCCAGGTGCCTCCCTTACCTAAGGTCCTTGATGGACAGTGTGCCCCGGAAGTCTCGCAGGATCTCCAGAAGGACCCAGGACCAGTAGCTGCGGTAGCTGAGCTTGCCCAGGTCAGACAGTGGCTTCTCAGGGGAGCCTACTGTGCTCTCCAGCTTGGACAGCTCATAACCTGGCAACAGTGGAAATGAGGAAACTGAGGACCCACCCTGCCCTGGCACCCCTCACCACAGCTGCCTTTCCTGGACAGGCCGGGAACCACTCACTGAAAGCAATGAGGAACTTTCCATAGCCACGGCGCTGGTAGGGGGGCAGGGTCAGGATGCAGGCCACGTTGTTCCCATCTGGTGACTCCTTTTCCTGTAGGGGTGGGTGGTCAGGACCTTTGCGGAGGCTCAGCCCCTGCTTCAGGTTCATTCTCCCCCTCTCCCTCAACCCGGGCTTCCCAACCCAGCACCTTCGAGAAATAGCCGACGATGTGGGCTCCCTGCCTGTCCACCTCGGTCAAAATGTAAAAGACGAATGGCTCCACGTCGAAGTACAATGTCTTGTGGTCCAGGAAAAGCTTGGCCAGCAGACACAGGTTCTGACAGTAAATCTGAGGGGTCGCGAGGTGGAAGCAGGCTCAGGGAGCAGGCGTAACTCCTCCGCCTCGCCCCATGGAGGCCTGGGCAGGAGCTGCCACCCTGCCCTGCAAGTGCCAGGCTCCAGACAGCAGCCAGTGCCAGCACGGTGAGAAGTGGGATCCTCACCAGAACAGTCATGTTTAGAATTGGAAGGAGTCTTAGAGTCACGTTCTGATGGATGGGGAAACTGAAAATCAGAGAGCTATGAGCACTCAAGGAGGTAACGGCAGAGCTGGACCCATCACGGCTACCGCTTCTGAGCGCTGAAGAGGAGCTCAATCTTCACAGACACGAACTCTTCTGTTTCAGGTCAGGAAACAAGCTCAGAGGAGACAGTGGCTCGCTCAAGGTCCCATGGCTGGTGAGCACTAGGGCAGGATTCAACCTGCTATATGAGTTCTGACTGTTCACAGCTGTGTCCTCAGCACCTAGCTCAAGGCTAAGCGTGAAGCTGGGAGCTTGGTAAATGTCTGCTGAATGGACGACCCTCGAGCCTGACTGCAGCCTGAGCTGTCTGCCCATTCAGCCACACCGGAACAGAGACCAATGCCAGGAGGGCCAGTGGGACCTGGAGGTTGGCTTCATGGCAGAGATCAAGGACACCTTTTACACCCACCCTCGTTGGATTCAACAATTGTGTGAACCCAGCGCTGCTAGACCCATTTTGCTTAGGAGGCAACGGAGGATCTGGCGGGTGGCAGAGGGGGGTGCTTGCCTGAGGACCCAAAGCTGGAGAAGGCAGAACTGGGAAGAACACCCAGGTCTCCTGCTGGGGCCCCTCCTGCCGCCCTCAGCCCCATTCATGCTCAGGAGGGCAGAGCAGGGGGCTCTGGTGGGGCTAAGATTTCACAAGCTACTTATCATAAGGCTGACAGAGGCCCATGGTTACTAAACCCTGTTCGATGCCAGGGACTGTGCTAAGTACTTGACTTCGCTGTCTCATTTACTCCACTAACAAGCCTGTTAGTTAACTATTAGCATGACTCCTGTCTTAAAGATGAGGAAACAGGAACAAAGGACCTTAAGTAACTTGTCCAAGGTCAGCTAGGAAGTGACGGGGCGATTTGAAGCCAGGAGCCACTCAGAAGCCAGGCCTCTGCGTCTTACACTCCACTGGACTTCCCCAGGAGACCTTCCCAGACTGACCAGGCAAGGGTCAAGTTCTCAACACAGCAAAGCAGGCCCCAAAGGCCCCACCCTGCCGCAATGCCGCAATGAAGTCCTTCAGGAACAAGGAACTTAGCGGTCTGGGCCACAGAGCTCTCCCAGCAGGAAACCTCACACACAGCAGTTCACACCCAGGAAAAACAAACACCTTTTCTTCAGGCAGAAAGAGAAAGCAGTTTTTAAGAACAGCCTGAGGCAAGACAGTCTCCACTCTGGGTTCCAAAATCGCCTGAACCTAAGCCCCCCCAAGCTACCCCATCAGAAGGCAAGTCCTCAGGGAGAGAAGGGAAACCCAGAACTCGAGGCTGGCACCACAGGGCCACGAGTTGACTATGCACCAACCACAGGCCGAGTGCCAGGCTGAGCACCAGCCCGCAGTCCTCTTCGCACACTGAGGCCGGCCTGTACCCTTTGGCGCCGGTGAGATCGTGAGATCGTCGGGAGGTGCCCAGCGTGTCCCCCCACCTGTCACAGCGCCTCCCCCCGGGGCTCACCTTGTGGTCTTTGCCGTCCACCTCGTACACAGAGATGTTGCTCTTGCGGTAGATCTCCTTCCCCGGGGGCTGCCGCCACTGGCACTGGCCCTGGGGGTGGGGACGGGCAGGGGGAGGCACAGGCATGAGGCCCCAAGGCTCCCCGCTAGGTGCCCCATCCCGCCCTGTATGGCCTGCAGCAGGCCTCTGCTTCTCTCCACCTGGAGACCCCAGGCCCCACCCTTTACCTACATCGAGTAATACTCCCAACCATCTGAGGAGACGGGTGCTATTCTACCGATGGAGAAACCGAGGCACAGTAACCGGCTCAAACATCACACAGCGAGACGGTTTTAAGTCCAGCTCAGCCTGGCTCTGGAGGACTCTGGAGGGCCGGCACCCATGACAAGGGCATTTCCCAAACCACATACATTTGCCTCAGTGTCTCTACCCTGTGGGAAACATGCCACTGCCCTGCCCCAGCAGGTCCTGCATGTGGATTAAAGCTTCCTGTCTGTCCGCACCTCATGGTCCCACAGCTCGGAGCTGTGCTTACTTCCTCTTTTCCACAGGGGAACCTGGCTCTGGACTGGCCTTGATAAACATGTGCTGAGGGCAAGGGACCCCAGAAGGTCCCCATTCCACAGAAGAGGAAACTGGGGTCTGGGGAGGGTCAGCAAGTTGGCCAGGGTCACTCCAGCAAAGGCAGAGTCAGGCCTGGAATCCAGGTCTCTCCAGCCGGGGCAGCTTTTCCTTGGACTCAACTGCTCTGGACCTTGCCTAGTGCCGCTGCCTCAGCTGGCCCTCAGCCTCTATGCCCACCACCGCACTCACCAGGCCCGGCCCGGCCCAGCCTCACCAAGTGGAAGCGGTAGCTCTTTTCGTATTTCATGTACTTGAGGCAGTACTCGCAGAGCCAGAGCTTGGGCTGTTTCCCATAGTCTTCAGGGAACGGGGAGAAGTACCAGGCGTCGATTTCGTAGTTCCCGATGTGGATCTTGTCCACGTACTTCACCTTGGTGATCTGTGGGCGAGGTGGGAGTGAAGGGCAGGGGGTGGCTCGGTCGGGGCAAGGGATGCTGTAGGGAGGGGGTGCCCCCAGTTAGGACCCACTCCCCTACTTACCGCCTCATGTTCCTTCTCCAAGGCTGCTGTTGTGGGGTCCATCTCTGCATAGGTCTGAGTGAGAAAGAGCAGTGGACACAGGTGAACAGAAGTGGAGGTCACGCCACGCCTCCCATCCCAGAACCCAGCACTTCCCGCCTATCTAGCAAACCTGTTTCACCTGGTTTCGGAGCTGACTGGTCCAAGTTCCTCTCCCATCTGCCCACCCACCCATACATCCCAGACACTCCTGATGCCCAAGTTTGGACCTTTTGCCTGATGAACAGGGCTAGGATCAGGAGGCCTGGTTCCAGTTCTTAGGCTGGTAAGAGCTTCAGCTGTACAACGCGGTCAATCCAGCTCTGCCACAGTTGTTGTGAGACAGATGACATAATGGGCCTGGTCTTCCGCTTCCACAGCAGGAACTGGTGCGGACACTCCGGTGTGCCTGGACCTCTTTCCTGCCCATGGGACTGCTCCCGGAGGCCCCTCCCACAGGCACATCAGGCTCTAGGTGTCCAGAAAGGAACTCAACCTTTCCTCCCTGCAAACCTGGTCATCCTCCTGGGTTCCCCATCTCACGAGGAGCATCACCTTCAGTCCAACTACCCCAGACCAATAAGAGGCCAGCTCTCAAGACTCCTCCTCCTCTCTCAGCCTGGCATCCGAATAATGGCCACGTCCTGTTAGCGCTACCTCCTCGTCATCTCTGGAACCGGTTCCTCTGTCCCACACCAAATAGCCACTGCCACCGTCTCAGGTCTGGATAGTTGACGAGGCCTCTGTAAATTCCCAGCCCCCAGTCTCAGCCCCCTCAGATCTGCTCTGCTATCAACACTCCTGTTGCTGGCCTCCATGCTTTTGCACATGCAGTTCCTTCCACCCTGAATGTCCTTCCCTCTCCTACAGCTGCCAGAAAATGCTTACTCAGCCTGGCACCGAGCACGAGCCAGGCAAGTACATGATGAGGCAGAGCTTGGCGAGTGATCACGTGTAATTGTTTCTGCTGTGCTCTCCCTGTCCTTCAAGGCCCAGCACCCTGGGAAGGTGTGGTCAACAATCCTCCAGGAGGCCTGACTGCATTCTTCCGATGCAGAATACATCCGTTCCCAAGTCAGGAATTCAGTGGTCAACAACAGTACCCTCCGACTCCCCCTTCTTGGTTTCCCCCATTTTCCAAGTCTTTGGAAGGCAGGGACTACAAGTCAGGTGGCACTCACAGCCCATCTTGTTCCTAGGCCAGATGCTGAAGGAGGAACCAAGTCCAGCCTGACAGTGGACGCAGTTAGGCCTATGACCTACACCAGAGTAGATGGTAGCCTTGCCCTGTAGTTCAGAAGGGAGAAGGAGCCAGTCTTTTACCCGGAACCCCTTCCACAAAGCACTTTGCCTGGATGGCCTCATTTAACCCTTTTGGCAACGCTGAGATACAATGTTCTTACTTCTGCTTTACAGAGAAGTAAACAGGCAGGGAGAGGCGAGGTCACTGGCCCTTGGGGACTAGCCAGCTGCCATTTATTCCAAGTACTAAGCACTTACGTCGTAGGCATTACTCAGAACAAGCCTGAGATGGGAATCCTCACTCTCTCCACTGCACGGAAGAGGAAACTGAGGCACAGAGAGGTAAGCTCACAGAACTGGCACCCAGGACAGCTGGGCATGGGCCCCTCGCCTGTCCAACTCCACACCTAACCCCTGCAAAGATGAGGGAAGGATGATTTTCCTCCTCACGTGCCTCTTTAAAACACATTTCCCAACTCATACAACACAATCCTCTGTAAATGCATTAAAGAATTACAAAAACACTACTTTCCGTAAATGCTGCAGTTTATTTAGAATTAAACATTAATTAGGCTCTGGAGAACCTTGCTGATCGTTAACTCGCTGTTGCTCGTTCTTTGATTTTAGCCCCACTGGCCCACTGTCAACCACCCCGCTGCCTGCCAGCTTACAGGTGCATCTTTGCGACTTAATGCGCTAGTGCAACCCGGCTGGGGAGCTGAGAAAACCTGAGATCTGAGCTGTCCGGTAAAGTAGTCACTAGCCACAAGTGGCCACCTAAATTTAAGTTCATTACATTCAGATAAAATTTAACTCTTGGGACTTCCCTCGTGGTCCAGTGGTAAAGAATCCGCCTTTCAATACAGGGGACATGGGTTCGATCCCTGGTCAGGGAACTAAGATCCCACATGCCGTGCAGCGCGGCCAAAAAAAAAAAATCTTTTAATAAAATTAAAAAATTTAGTTCCTACTCACACGAAACCCATTTCAAGTGCTCAAGAGCCACACGTGGGTAGTGGCTACTGTTTCGGACAGCACAGAGGCAGAACATTTCCATTTATCACAGGACGTTCATTTGGACCGTGCTGCCTTAGATGGTGAGAGATCTTTTTTTTTGGCCACGCCACATGGCTTGCAGGATCTTACTTCCTGACCAGGGATTGAACCCGGGTGATGACAGTGAAAGTGCCGAGTCCTAACCATTGGACCGCCAGGGAATTCCCAGTGAGAGATCTTTCTAATTCAGGTATTTCAAATTTTTTTTATCACAGCACTGTAAACCAACTGACAAGTTTGTGTATATACATATATATATTTGTATGTGAGACAGAAGCTTCTTAAAACAATACTTACCTTTAATAAAGTGCAATGCACTATGGTACTTTCTACCTTGTCCTAGTTCTTCCTTTTTTTTTTTTTTTGAAATTTACATGGTCACAACCCACTGAACTAATTTGGCAATCTACTAACAGCCCCACAGTTTGCAAACCATTGCTGCTAAGCCCAGGACGAGCACTCAGAAGGATGGACTGGCACTGGTTGAAAATAATGAACATCTGGGCGTCTTGAGAGCTCCATAAATCCTCCTCTTGTGTGCACAGCCCATCTCACAAATCCAGAAACTAAGATTCAGAGTGGGAGGATAGAAACCCCCCAGGGCAGGCTAGCTTCGTGAAAAGAACCCAAGTTTTGGAATAAAGTGGCAGGAATTTCTGGCATGTTTCAAAGAGCTTGTGCCCCAAAGTAGGACAATCTAGTTGGCCAATCTAATTCCTAACTGGATTCCTAAAACTACCTGTACCTCCCTTGTAAACTGGGGATATAATGCTTACCTCACAGAGTTGCTGTGAAACTTCAGTGAGATCATATACTGAAATACTTAGCCTAATACTGTGGTTCACAAGCCTATAAATGTTTGCCATTATAACTCTAATCTCAACCCACCCTTTTATTAGCTGTGTGATCTTGGGCATGTTACTTAACCTCTCTCAGCCTGCTTCCTGTTTTCCTCAGTAAAAACTAATTATCCCCGTGGTGTTGAGTTGTTTAGGGAGGATCTGATGAGCCTATATAGGCACAACACTCAGCACAATGCTTGGTAATAGCAAGTGCCCCAAATCACTCATTCTCTTCCTCCCCTTTGGACTCCAGGTCCATCTGTCAATGTGGCACAGCCAAGAGCAGGCACGAAAGGTGCAAGAGGCCTGAGTTCCAGTCCCAGCTGTGTCATTTCCTTGCCACGAGACTGTAGCCAAGCTGTCACCCTCTCTGAGCCTCAGTTTTCTCATCTGTGAAGAATACCTGGGAAGAAATAGATAGAGTCCCCTACACACTGTAGGAGCTTAAGAAATGGGAGCTGCTGTGGTTTTGGCACCGGGACCCAAGGGAGTCAGCAGAGGCAGCTGAGCCTCCTGCGGCCCCGGGGAAGGGGAGGGGCCCGGACCTTCTGCACGTGGTTGATCTCGTCATGCTTGCGCTTTTGGTTGCGAGTGATCTTTCGCTCAGGCTGCTCGGCCAGCTCGCTGAGGTACTTCTCTGAGTTCTTCTGCACGGCATCCTTCACTGTCTTGGTCAACGCCAGCCGGTTCTTGTCAACCCATTCGTCCAGTCGCCGGTTAACTGTGAGGATGGGCCATGAGGGTGCTGCCCTTCCGCCCCCGCCCCCCCCAGACCTGGATACCCCAAGTCACTCACAGCCCACATAGTGTACATAGAATTCCTCTCGGCCCTCCTGATCGTTCACTCGAGACTGGATCACTTCAGCAGAATCTGTGAAGGGAAAAGGCTAGGATCACCAGGAAAGAAAACAGGGCTGGAACAACAGTGATCCTTCACACTGAGGAGCAGTTTCCCAGATCCTGTGGCCAATTGTACGCTAACCTCACCTGTTCACCTCTGCCACTCCCTTCAATCACTGTCTGAGGTGGGCCAGATTGAGCTGTTATTCTTATTTTAGAGACGAGGAAACTGAGGCTTACCCAGGGTCACCTATTTGAAAAGTAATAAGAGCAAATACTTAACCGCATTTAAGTCTGGCTCCGAATTCAACGTTTCTTTTACTATACTCAGTCGTTCATTTGTTCAGGGGTCATGAGGGCTAGCTGTGGAATCAGACGGCCCCACTTCCTAGCTATATTTAACTGAACAAGTTATTTTGGCTTTCTGAGCCTCAGCACCTTCATCTGTAAAATAAGGATAACCGTGCCCACCTCAAACGGTGAATTAATGGCTCTAAAACTTTCAATGACAAACAGCCGACCATTCGATAGATGAGGAAGGCAACCACGCACGTCTGGCCCTGTGCTGGGCTGCTGCTGAATACAGTAATGGATCACGAGCAGGCCTGCCCTCCGGAAGCTCCCACTTTGATAGAAGACAGACAGACAGTCAATGACAACATAATGCTACATACACTATAGCTCAGGTATGAAGAAAATGTTGCATTTCTTCATACAGAAAGGGAACATACAGAAGGGAACGACTCAATCTGCCTGAAGGGAGTCAAGAATGGCATCACAAGGGATGTGATGCTAAAAGGATGACTGGAGCTAGCCAGCTAAACAAGGAGAAAGGGAAAAAAGGGCATTCCAAGCAGAGGGCACAGGCAGTAAAAGGCATATGGCCTTCAGAGCACACAGTGTGGTCGGGTCTGGCAATGGCCTTTACTAAGGGTGCTGGAAAACACAGAGGTTACAAAAATGAATGCCATTCTAAGGAACTTGGGGTTTATTCTGGAAATGAGGCAAAGCAATAGAAGGGAGGGGAAGCTCGCTTTTGTGTTCTGGTAGGTCCTCTCCGCTGGCGGCTGCAGGGGATGGATGGAAGGGGGGAGTCACAGAGACAAGGGAGACCATTGAGGAAGGAGGTTAACAAGAAAAGGGAATGAAGCCTAAGACTGGGCAAGGAAGTGGACTGGGAGCTCTACACACATTAGGAAGAACTTGGCGAACGCCCAACTCGCAGGGGGTTGTAGGCGTTCGGGCAAGTCCGAAAGTCCGCGTTCTCCTCCCTCAGGCCCCGCCCCCGCCCTTAAACCCCGCCCCCTGGCCCTGGGTCCCGCCCTCACGCCAGGTGCTATCCGGCCGCCGGCACAGGTACGTTTCTCCGATCTCCACGGTGACTTCTGGCTCGCCACGCGCCGGGGTCGGCGGAGAGACGCGGCCCGGGGACGGGGAGGTCCCCTCGACCGCCACATTCTCGCCGGGCCCGGGCTCGCTCTCCCCCGCGACCCCTGAAGTCGCTGCCGCAATCGCCGCAGCTCCTCCCTGCGCCGCCATCGCTGTAGTGGAAGTGACGCCAGAATACAGCGCCGCGCAGGGCCTTTAGCTCCGGGTCAGCGACTCGTGGCGGAGGCCGCGGCCGGCTGGAGGGGGGAGGGGGTCTGTGACGTGGCAGGAGCTCATTGGCTCGTGCGACGGTCTCCGCGGCGCTGGGCCAGATTGACGTGGACTGTGCCGGTTGCCCTGGAGTTGTTTTTCGTTTGGAACTATGGCTGCACCCTAGAGTTGAAGAGAGGAAAAAGGCTTTCCTGATGTGATGCCTCAGCTCGATCTTTTTAAGGGTCCGGGTGCCTGATCAGGGGGCGCTGCCCGCACTTGGCAGAGGCAAAGCAGCCTACCTGGATGCCTGGCTTTGGGGCGATGAACTTGGGATTAGCACCCATCCCCGTGCCGCCCACTTCCGCCTGCCAAATACGGGTCTCCCGTCTGTGAAGACTGAAGAAACTGCCTTCCTTGTTGAGAGTGAGAAAAGGACAGTTAGGGTGGGGGAAGCAGGACGGATGTGTGTCCTAGGACAGCCAATAAATCACTCTCACAGAATCAAGCCTTTGTAAAGAAAGGACCAGGTCCGCTAAACAGAAACTAGCCAAAGGCAGTGGACATAATGGAGAGCATCTGGGGCTTATTGAGTGAGGAATCCTGGGTTCTGCCCCTTCACTGGGGAAGTTGTACAAGTATGTCCATTCCCAGAGTGTCGTTAAAGGTTAAACTGTACAAGCCATATAACTATAAAAAGGTTAAACCATATACTTATCTCTTATGTATATAAAACAAGTGTACTGCACAATACCAGACAGGGTAGGTGCTCAAACATTCCCTTTGGCCTCTTTCTTAATCATCTTTGATTTATAATTTGGTTATTGGGCTTAGAAACAATTCTAAGAGGGATGTAATGCTCAAGCCCTAAGGATGAGGTTATAGATCAGGAAATGTCTAAGTATTTGTGAGGGATGGCAGTGGGAAGTGCTGGTAACTTGGCTTTTGGGGAATGAAGGAGTTTGGGGGGAGCAGTAAATGCCAGTTGTCTGGCAGCATATGAAACAGAAAAAATAAAAATCAGGCAAGAAAAAAAAATTAAAACTGTAGTACCTTTTCCCACTCTCCACCCACCCCTAGAACTATGTAGATGATTCACCCAGATCCCCTAGAATCTTTCTGTTGCTTCTTTGTGCTCATATTTCCTTTGATGGGCTTTCAAAAGCCAGCACCAGAGGCTTGTTTGGCAAACTGCCCCTCAGGCTAATAGAGCTATTTTGCCTCAGAAGAGATGAAAACAGAAGTTCTTAGCCAGCGAGTTTTAAGTACCTCCCCAACCCCATTCAAATAGGGACATTGAACAAATGATTGTCCAGTGGAGAAGCCCATCAATGACTGTGGAGCTTAGCTCTCTTGCCTGGCCTCCTGCCCTTCCCTTTCCCACTTCCCCTACTCCCTTCTGGGAGCACTTTCTCAACAAGTCACTCGGACACAAATCCTCCTTTTAAGATGTGCTTCTAGGGAACCCAACCTGAAACATCCCTTCCTAGCTTAAAACCCTTCCATGGGTCCCTGCTGCCTCCAGGATAAAACCCATGCTTCTTCACTGTAAATTCAAGGTCTTTCACCCTGACTGCCACCTACCTCTCCAGTCTCACCCCCTCTGCCCTGCAGCCAGCAGGATTTTCAGCCTGGCAAGTCACTGTGGTTTCCCACCACCAGAAACAATTCCTGTCTCCCCTCAGTGCCCCACCTCCATCACCAGTTCCACCAAGCAGGCCTTCAGGCCTTCTCCTTCCCTGGCAAGATAGGCAGGCGGTCACCTCACCACCTGCTCCTTGGAGTCCTTTCCTTTTGCCCTCCCTACCAGGACCCTACTGTCCTCTGGGGCCTGTCAGAGCACAATCTGGTGTGTTCCTTTCCTTGGCAACAGCAAGCACAGCTGGCAGACAGTATTTTTAACCTTACTCAGGTTCAGGAATCAGGTGGCTTGGAAAGTTGCCTAGTCTGGTGACCTACACCTCCGCAACCTATGACTGCTGGGAAGGGAAGAGTCAGAACTGAGGCCTAAAGCTGGGCCAACCCGGGCCTTCAATATTGTCTGGGAGCCAGAAACATTTGGTAAATGAAATAAATGAAAGGTCTTTGCACAAACTGCCCAAGTCATCCCCACTCCCGCCAAATGTAACATGCAAGCGACTCGGGGCCAATTCCATTCCTGGTCTGCCAGGCTGTGAGGACAGAGACTGGAACATGAACTAGTTAAACCCGAGGGCCCAGGGGACCTGAATGGGGGCAGAAACAAAGGCTCACCTGCCCTGCCCACACATGGGGCCCAAGAGGGCATTCAAAATGTGAACTTTAATAACAAACAGCAGGTCAGAGTGGGGGTTCCCCAGGAACAAGAATGACGGAGCTGGTGCTGGAGACCCCAAGGGTCCCCACTTCATCCCCTCTAAGGCCTGGAGGCAGGGAAGCAGTGGACCCCATCGAGGAGGAGGGGAGGTGCCTGGCTCCACGTAAGTCCATCTGCTTGGGGCCCTAAGACCCGAGATGCAGCAGTGTGTAGAGCAGGGTGGCACCCTGCTGGGCCCGGAAGGTCCTGCCAGGGTGTGTGGCCTAGCCTGGGCAGGCAAGCAGGCCAAGGGCTGCAGGGTCAGATGCGGAAGCTTTCCTCCCGGCCGTCGATGTGACGGAGCCGCAGGTAGACGTCCGTGCCAATGCCCTGTAGGGACTGCAGCCGAAGGGAACCACCGAGGTACTCCGCGTAGGCCCGCGATGTGGGCAGCCCGAAGCCAAAGCTGGGGGTGGGCAAGGGGACAGAACACGGGCTTCAGAGGCTTGAGTCTCCTGCCCCGCCCCCCCGCCCCTCCATTCTGGCCAGGTGGGGCCTCACCCGTGCATGGGTCCCGACTGGCCGCCACTGTGCAGGTCCAGGTGGCCGAAGAGGGGGCTGATCCGGGGGTCCTGGGTGCTGGCCTCAGCTGTAGTGAAGTGGTAGTCCATAACCCGATCCAGGTCTTTGTGAGCGATTCCCCCGCCCCGGTCTGAAATCCTGGCAGGATGACGACGACAGGGGTTTGGCTCAGCTTTGGTGGGGCTCACTACCTCCCCAAGTAGACAGTGCTAAGTCGGGTTTCCTGTCGCTTCCATGCAGACATGGAATGTGGTCACCTAGACTCTTGGGCCTTTTTTTTTTAAGCTATGTTTCTCCACCCTTACCTCTGCCACTAACTGCTTATACTTCCTCATAGGACTTGACGTTTATTCTCAGCCCAGCACCGCAGACTGTTTATTTCTGACTCTTTTCCCACTCTGGGCCCCTCAGCTGCTGACAAGGACAGGGCCCTGGGGCCCACAGCTGGCCCCAGATCCACTCATGTCCAGCTCATGGCAATCTCAGGACTGGAGAATATCCTGTCCAACCAGAAACTGAATCTCAGACTGGGGCAGGTACTGGCTTGAGAGCATCCAGCAAATCAGAAACAGTGCCCGGAACCCCCATGCATCCCACCCCAACTCCCACCCAGGGCAAACCTGATGACGAGATCGATATCATTGTTGGCGATGGTGATGACCACATCTGGGACATTGTAGGGAGTGTCTAGGTGACTCTCCATTGTGGCTCTGTGCAGGGGGCAAAGATCAGTAGGTGGTGGTGCCCCAGCCTCACCCCAGTTCCTGTCTGCCCCCTTCCAATATATCCAGCAGCCCACCTCATGGCATTCTTGAGCAGCTCGGGCAGGATGTAGTCCAGCGGCATCGGGATGAAGGGAAAACGGGCAGCCACATGTCCATTGATGCGGACTCGGGGGGCATTGCCATACTTGTGTTCACACAGGCGTCTGCGGAAAGGAGCAAGGGTTCAGACCTCCAGTGGTTATCAACTGGAGGTGATTCTGTCCCCACCCTCCCAGGGAAATTTCACAATCTCAATCTCTAGCGACATTTTTGGCTGTCACAGCTGGAGAGTATTACTGGCATCAAGTGAGTAGAAGCCGGGGACTCTTCTGAACATCCTAATAAGCACAGGCCAGCCCCTCACAGAAAAGAATGATCTGGCCCAAAACGTTAACAGTGTCACAGTTGAAAAACCCTGCCCTGGACCATGCCCTGGGCAACGGATCAGACCCAAACCTTCCCTGCCCGAAGCGTCACCCCCTTAGCCGTTCTAGCCTCACCTGGCAAAGTCCACCCACTTTTCGATCATCTTCTTCGGCGAGAGGCGAGTGCAGATGATGCCAACAAAGTCGGGCTGGCAGGAGAGAGAAGGTCAGGGCCAGGGATCACCTGCACCCACACCGTGGCCACCAAAAGCTTGACATTCCCAGGTAGGTCTCAGGTCCCCGTGCCCCACCTTGTCCTCATGTAGCGCCAGATGATGTGTAGCCAACATGCGGATCCCAAGCCTTGAAGTCAACGTCTTGTCTAAGAAGTAGCGGACGAGCTTCTCATCCTGTAAAGAGTAGGGGCTCAGAAACCCTGTGCCTGGGACTTCCCTGGTGGCGCAGTGGTTAAGAATCTTTCTGCTAACGCAGGGGACACGGGTTCGATCCCTGGTCTGGGAAGATCCCACATGCCGTGGAGCAACAAAGCCTGTGCGCCACAGCTACCGAACCTGCACTCTAGAGCCCGCGAGCCACAACTACTGAGCCCATGCACCACAACTACTGAGCCTGCGCACCACAACTACTGAAGCCCGCTCACCTAGAGCCCGTGCTCTGCAACAAGAGAAGCCACCGCAATGAGAAGCCCGTGCACCACAACAAAGAGTAGCCCCAGCTCGCCGCAACTAAAGAAAGCCCGCGTGCAGCAACAAAGACCCAACGCAGCCAAAAATAAATAAACAAAAAATAAAAACAAAAACTGTTAAAAAAAAAAAAAAAAGACCCTGTGCCCTTCCCAGGCCCTCCCAACAGGCCTGAGCCCCCACTGCGCTGCCCCTGACCTCTATGTGCTTCCGGCTCTCACGCAGGCCCTCAGCTAAGAGGGTCACCACATCCTTGTGGTCGTCCAACAGCTGTCGCACCAGCTGG